ATTTTTTTTCCAGGCATTTTTCTTTTCACGAATTTTTTTTTTTGAATTTTCACCCCCCCCCCCTCCCGGGATTTCTAATGGTCCGCCCCTAATCATCTGTCTCACAGCTTAAAATTGTTTGATCATCTGGAAAAATTGGGAAATTACTCATTTTTAGCATCATACATGTAAATTAGATATACCCTGTACAGCCAGAATATTCATTCCCAACTTATTGGGTAAAAGAAAGTGGGGAATGTCGACCAATTATAGACTTGTTTCGTTTGGCCATACAAACCATGCTGCTACGAGACTGGAATGTTACAGTTGATTTTGAACACGAAACTTTGGCCGCTTCAATTGCGAGGTTGGTTGGGTTGATTGGCCGGTTTCCAATCAACTTGATGACCTTGTGTTTATAGTTCCCAAATTCCCAACCAACCTCGCAACTGGCGCGGCCAAAGTTTTGTGAAATCAACTGTAAATCGTTTCAATTTTCAAATCTGTCCGAGATTATCTTTGACTCTACCATTCTGGCTGTATACCTAATTTAAATACACTATATGATGCTAAAAATCCTTTCCCAATTTTTCCAGATGATCAAACAATTTTAAGCTGTGAGACAGATGATACTAAGAAGAACATATACTGTTTTAGTGAAGAATTTCTATTTATTAACCTTGAAGGTCAATGAAACCCCTTGGAATAACACCTTATTCTACAACAAAAAATTATCACTGAAAAGTCACCAATACCTAATAAAAATATTTTTACAACTTACCATCAGGTAGGCCCATATATGCTTGAGCATGGGCTGCTCAGGACATTACTGTGCTGCTAAAAGTACTCTTTTCCCATTTTTTTGCTGTCAAACTTGACGTCCTTTCCATCATAAGACCTGATCCAATTTGTAGAAAAAATATGGGGAAGTTTGTACGACTCACTTTTGATCTTTTCATCACCGCACAAAAAAGTTTGTTATATACTTTGTTATTTGGATTCTTCTCACAGACCCTGTATTGCATCAAAATATTTGCAAATAGCAAGGATCAGGGATTTGCTACATTTTTAACACTTAATACAACCTGTATGAGAAAGTAGCAAAAAAAATTTTGGTAGGAAAATATATTATTTGGGAAATTTAAACCTAAAGCAACAGTATGGGGTTCAGTACAAGACCTCTATTCAACCAAATCCACACAACCACATTGTCATTCATTGATCCCAAAATTATGGCAGTAGATTTTCATTATTTCATTAATTACTCCTACTATCCAAGAATATCCAAACATAAAAAGATTATAAACCTATTTAAAACAAGAAAACACGCCAAACGAGTGAGTAACCTACATATCTCAACTGGCTATACAAATCGAGGGCTATATTAAAAGGCAAGAATCACGTCGAGCAAATGACGAAAATTTAAACGAAAGACCATGAATTTTAGATAAAATTAAACTGCAACAAAACTAATACCCTTTACCTGCGTAGGATTCAGTCCATCTTTTTCATAAAAACCATGACATAACTCACAACCTCCTTAAGGGCTATTTTTTCCACTGTTGCGTTTTTCGTACGCACGTACACGCACCATGCACGTAAAACTCTGAATCCTTCTATTTTTTACAAATAAGTTAACAAATGTATACTAAAACTTGTGGAACACTAATTCTGTTGCTTTATTTATTTGGTTATTTCATAAGTGACATTTAAACGGATTTAAAGTTTTACGTGCGTATACGTACGTATGAAAAACGCAACAGTGGAAATCAGTCTTTTATAGAAGTCCGCCATATACATTTTATAATACACAGAACCATAAAAAGAACGATACTAGCGCATGCGCAGACAAAATTAACAACACAGATTCAGTGATTCACATGTTACAAGGCATATTATATTAAGTACGCAAATTAATGTTCAGTTTAAAACCTTTGAGCTGTATATAAAGAAAATTGCTGTGAAGCTCGACATTTCGAGCGAAGGTCGTTCGTCAAGAGTTAGTAGCAGGGATCGGGGGAGGGGGGGATACCATTTCTGATTTTTGCTATATAGCCGAAAATTTGATAAATTATCAAACTATTTAAAATTTTGCCTATTTGAAATGTGGTGGCAAAAAAATGTGAAATCTCATGTTCTCTGTATACCACTGGAAAGTTCACATACATATACTCGGTACATATAGTCTTAGATACCAAAGGTTAAACCATAAGAAAATGCCTGTTACCAGCTTCTAACAAAGTTGCCATCAAACTCTCTTTAGAACCACTTTTTAAGGCAAAGACAAACTTACCTCGCAAGCTTCCAAGCCTCCTTGCCTCAATCAGTGATAAAAACACGCCAAGGTTGCCGTTTTCGCCAGGAAAGCTACGCCGAAAAGTCTACAAGCACACGCAACGTTTTTTTCCAAGATATGTATAAGTATTTAAATATAAATGGCCGAAGCTGCTACTGCTAGCCTATTAAATCAAACTAAGTGTCTTCTGCCTTACTTTCGTTGCGACGCATAAGGACCATAAAGACATGCTGCAAATATAATTTGTTATTCCATATAAGGAAGTCTATGTCTATCGCAAAAATATGTTCTTCCGGTGGATTCCATATAAGGAGGTTTGTTTCTTTCATAATTGCTGCCACTAAGTAGAACCACTAAGTAGAACCACTAGTAGAACTCGATAAAACCCGACCTCTGTGACCCGACTATAAAATTATTAAAGTCATTTGTATAATTGTATATCTCGTACGTTG